CTGAGTGATGACTGGAAGGGAGGAGGAGGAGGAGGAGGAGGAGGAGGAGGAGGTTCCTCCGGCGCGGAGGTTGAGTGGGTCTGAATGATGAGTAAGTCTGAATGATGAGTGAATCTGAGTGATGAGTGAACCTGAGTGATGAGTGAGTCTGAGTGGGTCTGAGTGAGAGGAGGTGAGGGTGTTCCTGTGTTCCTCCGGCGCGGTCTGCCAATAACAAGAACCCCATACTTAGGATATGGGGAACAACAGTCCCATCTTAGGATATTGGGAACAACAACAACAACGACAACAACAATAACAACAACAACAACACCAACAACACCAACAACAACAATAATAATTTTAAGACCGTTCGCCCTTATATGCTCGAGTGTCCAATAACGCGTATTTCCCAAACCCTCGATACCCGCCCTCTTCGTCTTCGATCGAACCCTTTTTTGGGGGTCTACGTTTCTTCCCTGCAGGCCAGGCCCCGGCAAGCGGCGGGGCGGCCGCGGACCGTCGGCCTGGCCAGCGGCAGGACAGGGGACCGACCACGACGACGACGACGACGACGACGACGAAGGCGACGACGAACGAAAGCGAGAGCGAGAGAGAACGACAGCAGGGCCACGAAGGGCACGAAGTAGGCCACGAAGGGCGACAGCGGGGACACGAAGGGAATGCGTATGGGGCCCAAAGAGCGCGAACGAGCGGGGGCCACGAAATGCAGATAATGCGGGGCCACAGAAGGCAACTATGGGGCCACTGAAGGTAGCAACTGGGCCACGCAGGACAGTGAGGGGGACACAAATGGCGACAGCGGGGCCACGAAGGCCATGCACATGGGGCCACAGCGGGCGCGACTCCTGGGTGCCTGGGTGTCGGGAGCGCGGTGCTCGGGCAAATTGCAGGAAATTCCAACGCAAGGCCATTCTTCAGTAAGTTGCAAGCAAGTCTCCAGCGAGAGCGCGACTCCAGAGCGCCGGGGGAACGATTCCTGAATTCGCCGGCCCAACGGGCCAGAGGCGTGCTAAGATCTCCGGCGCCTACTTAACAATATTTCGAGTTCGCGCGCGCTGGGCGGCCCCTGGGGGGCCCCGGACGAAAAATACCCTGGCCGATCCCCGGCTGACCCCCGGGCGATCCCCAGGGGGGAGGCTATAGTTCGCCACCCCTCACGAGGATCGTGGCCTCCGAGGGGGGGGGGGCCAACGACTACCTCCCTTCCCGTCCCAAGGGGCCCCCAAAAGCCTCCCAAGAGGCCCCAGGGGAGCCCAATACGCCGCCAAGGAGCCCCAAGACGCTCCCAAGAAGCCCCCAAGACGGCCCCACGAGGCCCCAAATAGCGCTCCAGGGCCGGCGGAATGAGCGAAGCGATTAAATAAATTGTAAGGAAGTCCCAAGCGAGAGCGCGATTCCTGCATAAAGTGCGAAGAAGTCTCGGGCGGGAGCGGGGGTCCTGGCTAAATTGCAAGTCTCAAGCGGGAGCCGTTGTTGTTGTAACCCAGGGGTCAGGGGCCCAATTTGAGCATGAAGACTTTCCCTGTCAAAAAACAGGGTGCGAACGTCGAGGGGCACAGTTTGATCGAGAAAAAACAGTTCGCACCGGTGGAGGGGGATCAACAATAATTATTCTTCAGGAATAGAAATTCAGCAACAACAGAAATTACGACGACAACAAATCAACACCAACACCAACACCACCACCACCAACAACAACAACAATCATTTTAAGACTGTTCGCCCTTATATGCTCGAATGTCGAATAACGCAAATTTCCAAACCCTCCATACCCGCCCTTTTCGTCTTCGATCGAACCCTTTTTGGGGGATACACCTTTCTTCCATGCAGGCCGGGCCCCGGCAAGCGGCGGGGCGGCCGCGGACCGTCGGCCTGGCCAGCGGCAGCGCTGATCGGCGGGGCGGCCGCGGACCGTCGACCCGACCCCAAGAGGGACGGACAGGGGACCGACCACGACGACGACGACGACGACGACGTTCGTTCGTTCACTCTGCTTGCCCGAAGGTCTGCGGCAACCCGCGTGCAGGCAAGGCTCACTAGCCCGGATCCGCACTCAGAAGTCGATGATTCAGCCAGAATTCTTTGAGATCTGCCCACTGCTCCTGGTCCATGGCCACTCTTTGCCACTCGTCGCACAAAATGTTTGAAAATTGGTGTTCGTATCGCCACACATGAAAAACGCTTACCGTGACATTGTTGGCCGTATGACTTTTCCAACTGACGTAAATATGGAATGCCACGGAATTGCAGAGCTTGCCAAGCGATCTGGCCCTGCGCATATTTGCCAAAACGCGCTACATGGCCAGCCCACGTGAAAACTCTCCCCAAACATATTATGTCCCAGCGTTCTAAGTTGTATCTTGCTCGCAGCGAGTTCAGCTTCTCATTGATCATGCGGCAATGCTCCCCGAACATATAATCGTCCCAGTCGAAATCGAAGCTCTGATGCGTCTCCGCAGGTAGCTTGAACTTGGCCCCCAGGATACGTCGCATCATCTTGTTTTCCGTTGCCCGCATTCGCTGTAGATGCCTCTTCGCGAGGCGCAAGACCCCGATGTTGTACGTCAGAGCCGGCAGGACGAACTGAAACAAGGCCTCCAAACGACGACGGAGAGGACTGGCCTTGCAGGTCAAAATCCTGCGGTGCTTTCCGACAGCGTTCCACGCGCTCGGAATCCTCCGCTCCGCCTCCACGGTCGCATCGTTGTTCATAGTGCGAACGTGCCCCAGAACTTTCAAGCCCCAGGCACGCGGAGTGAATGGAAGGAAAGTCTCAGGCTTGTCGTTCGCCTTCCTGGCACGTTTTTTCGGCGGAGCTCTGGTAGACTGATCCGGATTGGCCCACACGTCGTGAATGACCAATGGGTGCTCGCAATCTTTCGTTGATGACCACGCGCATGAACTTAGTTCCACGGTCCATCCGTGATCCCGCACTCGAGTATGCCAAGCATCGACCACTTTTGTAGCTGAACCTTCGAGTTCGCCAACAACCAATCGTTATCTGCGGAAACCAAAATAGGAAGGCGCCTGGTATGTATCGACGCCTCTGGCGCCAACCCGGCCCTTTGCAGCACCATCAAATCATCGTGCTCAATAGCGACTCCCCAACCACTTTTTGAACATAAGGCTAAGAAAGGGCAAATGAGGGTCAAGTCGGCGACGATGTTGAACTTTTCTGGGCCTGTGGGGTCCCCTTGATAAATGCTTCTCGTGCGTGGCACTGGAATCGTAGGTCCTCCTCTGGGGAAACGGAGGCGCCCACGCGCCCTTCTGACTTCCCGGATCATGCCCGCAGTGATCAATTTCGGCACGCTTTTCTCCTGAAGCGACGACGACGACGTCGACGACGACGGCAACGACGGCGACGGCGACGGCGACGACCAGCGAAAACGAGAGCGAGAAAGAACGACAGCAGAGCCACGAAGGACACGAAGTAGGCCACGAAAGGCGACAGCGGGGACACGAAGGGAATGCGTATGGGGCCACGAAGAGCGCGAACGAGCGTGGGCCACGAAGGGCAGATAATGCGAGGCCACAAAAGGCAACGATGGGGCCACGGAGGGTAGCACCGGGGCCACGTAGGACAATGATGGGGGCCACAAGCGGTGACAGCGGGGCCACGAAGGGCATGCACATGGGGCCACAACGGGCGCGAACGAGCGGGGGCCACGAAGGGCATACGTATGTTGGGCCGCGGAGGGTAAGGACGGGGCCGCTGAGGGCAGCAACGGGGACACGAAGGGCAGCGAGGGGGCCACCAAGGGCGACAGCGGGGCCACGAAGGGCATGCATATGGGGCCACCACGGGCGCGAACGAGCGGGGGCCACGAAGGGCATACATATATGGGGCCACGAAACAAAGCGAGGGGGCCACGAAGGGTTGCAACGGGGCCACGAAAAAAAACGAGGGGGCCACGAAGGGCTGCAACAGGGCCACGAAGTGCTGCAACGAGGTCAAGAAGGGCAGCGAGGGGGCCACGAAGGGCTGCAACGGGGCCACGAAACAAAGCGAGGGGGCCACGAAGGGCTGCAACGGGGCCAGGAAACAAAGCGAGGGGGCCACGAAGGGCTGCAACGGGGCCACGAAACAAAGCGAGGGGGCCACGAAGGGCTGCAACGGGGCCACGAAACAAAGCGGGGGGCCACGAAGCCCGATTCCTAGGTCCTAGGTAATCTGTGAAGGAGTCCTTAGCGTGAGCGCGACTCCTGGGTGCCTGGGTGTCGGGAGCGCGGCGCTGGAGTAAATTGCAAGATATTCCAACGCAAGGGCGCTATTCTTCAGTAACTTGCAAGCAAGTCTCCAGCGAGAGCGCGACTCCAGAGCGCAGGAGGAGCGATTGAATAAATCGTAAGGAAGTCCCAAGCGAGAGCGCGATTCTTGAATAAAATGCAAGGAGGTCTCGGGCGGGAGCGTGGGTCCTGGCTAAATTGTGAGGAAGTCTCAGGCGGGAGCCGTTGTTGTTGTAACCCGGGGGCCAAAGGCCCAGTTTTAGCAGGAAGACTTTCCTTGACAAGAAACCAGGTGCGAGCCCCGGGTAGGGGCACTTCAATTGAAACAAATCAATGTGCACCGGTGGGGGGATCAACAATACTTATTCTTCAAGAATGAGATGTCAACAACAACAACAACAACAACAACAACAACACTCCGAGCCCGCTGCCGCATGCGTGCCGGCAAGGTGGTCCCAGCCTGGCCTGTGCCGCTCCTGCGAAGCGCACAGTGTGCCGAAATTGTTGTTCCGTGGGGCTCGCATTGGACCAAGTCGGAGCCCAAGTGTGTGATGGTGTTTGCCCTGGCGAGGGGCTGGGCAGCATGGTGTATCCCGACAAGATTGCACGAGCCTGTTCTGCTCTGCTTCCTCCCCACCACGACTTCCTCTCACAACTCCCCCATGTCCATCTTGCTTACAGTCGGACCTAGGCCAGAAAAACATCTCTCAAGAACATGGGACCCTCCGCTGGTCAAAGGACGCAGAACATCTAAAGATCAAAGGATACTTCCCCAGGGTGCACGAGAACATCCAACAAACACGAAGAACAATAGGGTACCCTCCCCGAGCCGACCTCGATCTTAGACCTCGATCCGACTGTATGACTTATTCTGCATATGCGCGTATATCTTCATACAGATATGCTGCTCGATCTCAAGCTGGTCGGCCTTCACTCGCGGATGCAGCAGTCGGCCCCTGTGTCACTCGGAATGCCCAGGTGCAGAACCTGCTTCGTTGCCGTGCCGTTCTGGTGCACTGGGCGATCAAATTCGCAACTGGAGAGCATTCGACTGTCGGGCAGCAAGCGCAGAGAGCGGCATCTTGCCAGAAAAGGTATGACATCCGAGCGCACATAAGGGAAGTGCAACACAGGACGGGAAGCCAAGAGCTCCTAATCGGGGTGCGTGGCGACCCACACACCAAGAGCTCGTATCTCTTCTTCGCCTGTGGGCGGGCACCGAATTTATCAATAGTATATACGCACGCGCTCGCACGCATGCACCCGCTATTGTCCAACTACCATCACGCATGAAACAAGGATGTATCCTGGATAAGGGTGGCAACACACGTTACGGGAAAACGAGAAGACGAGAAACGCACATGCAGCAGAACGGACCGTGCCGTTATTCGGGCCGGGTCAACAAAAGGCATGCCCGAAAATTCAATCACCCGCCGCCGTGTCTCGGATTCCAGGCAGCTCCAAGACGGCACAAGACCGCCCCAAGACGGCTGAGAGATGTCTCAAGATCAGACCAAGACGTCTCAACGAACTTCCAGAGGCCCCTAGATGTCCCGAGAGGCCTCAAGAAGTCCCCAAGAGATACTCGACGAGGCCTCCAGCCAGGCTCGAGGATGCGAGAATCAAGGACTCGCCAAATAACAGAACGTCTCGTTCGCCTTCGATTGTTTTCGGTCTCGGATCGCCGAATGACGCTCCAGAAACGCCAACACGCCCCGAATACGGCCCAAGACCGCCCAAACCGACGCCGACGACGGCAACGGCGACGCCGACGACGACAACGCCGACACCGACGCCGACGTCCCACCCGTGCCCCAGGAGTGCCAAAGAAGGTTCCACCGAGCCTGTGCGGGAGTGCCCACTGCAATTGTATAACCGTCGCCCCCGAGACCCCCGACGGGCCCTCCATGGGCCCCCCACGTGCCCCGAAGAGCCCTCCAGAAAGCTCCTGACGGGCTTCCAAAAAGGCCCTGGAGGGCCCCGGTATGTCTTTCAGAAGGAGAGTGGGAGGGGGGTGGTAAGACGGAGGGGGAAAAACACAGAAGATACGGCTGCGGACAAAGAGGTGGTGTTTCAGACCCGCGTCAATTCAGACAGGGCGCCGAGCTGGAGCGGGTCTTAAACTCAACCTGCTCCCTGCTGGGCTGTTGCGCTGGCACGGTCCGCACGGTGGCGGGGCTTGCCGCAAGCAACTGGGCAATCATAGTCCATCACCGTCGTCGTCGACGCCGCCGGCATCGCAGCCGCAGTCCAAATCGTCGTCGTCGACATCGTCGCGGTCGCCGCCGCCGCCGTTGTGATCGGAGCGTCGTCGTCCACGTCGTCGTCCACGTCGCCGTTCACGTCGTCGTCATCGTCGTCATCATCATCACCACCATCATCATCATCAGCATCGTAACAATAAGAATTACCATCATCATCATCATCATCATCATCATCATCATCATCATCATCATCATCATCATCATCATTTTCATCATCATCATCATCACCATCACCATCACCATCACCATCACCATCACCATCACCATCATCATCATCATCATCATCATCATCATCATCATAATCATAATCATAATCATCATCATCGTCATCATCGTCGTCATCATCACCATCACCATCACCATCACAATCAGCATCATCGTCATCAGCATCATCGTCATCATCATCATCCTCATCCTCATCCTCATCAGCATCAGCATCAGCATCAGCATCATCACCATCACCATCATCATCACCATCACCATCACCATCACCCTCATCCTCATCCTCATCCTCATCATCATCACACTCACTCACACTCACACTCACCATCACCATCACCATCACAATCACCATCCTCATCCTCATCCTCATCCTCATCCTCATCATCACCATCACCATCACCACCACGACCATCACCATCACCATCACCATCAGCATCATCATCATAATCATCACAATCACCATCACCATCACCATCACCATCATCAGCATCAGCATCAGCATCGGCATCAGCATCAGCATCAGCATCAGCATCAGCATCAGCATCACCATCATCGTCATCGTCATCGTCATTGTCATCGTCATCATCATCAGCATCAACATCAGCATCAGCATCCTCACCATCATCATCATCATCATCATCATCATCATCATCATCATCATCATCATCATCATCATCCTCATCATCATCATCATCATCATCATCATCATCAGCATCCTCATCCTCATCCTCATCCTTATCAGCATCAGCAGCATCATCATCATCACCATCATCATCCTCATCCTCATCCACATCCTCATCATCATCATCGACATCATCATCAGCATCATCATCACCAACACCATCACCATCATCATCATCATCATCATCAGCATCAGCATCATCATCAGCATCAGCATCAGCATCAGCATGATGATGATGATGATGATCATCATCACATCATCACCATCACCATCACCATCATCATCATCATCATCATCATCATCATCATCATCATCATCATCATCATCATCATCATCATCATCATCATCATCATCTTCATCTTCATCTTCATCTTCATCTTCATCGTCGTCGTCGTCGTCGTGGTCGTCACCATCGTCGGCGTCGTCTTCCTGGTCGTCGCCGCGGCTGCCTCCGCCATCGTAGAGTAAGCCGCCATCGTCGCCGTCGTCGTCTCCATCGTCGTCGCCACCGTCGTTATCCACGTCGCCGTCGAGGTCGTCCTCGCCGTCATCGTTGTCGTCGGCAGCGTGGCCGTGGCCGTCGTCGTCACAGCCGCCGCCTCCGCCGCCGCCTCCGTCGCCGCAGTGTCCGTCGCCAAAACTGCCGTCATCGTCGAGTCTAGAAGAACAAGCAACGGCTCACACACATAATTTCTCGGTCCTCGCGGATTCCTTGCATCGGTGCTGGTTTCTCCTCCCTGGCGCGCGTGTCGCGCCAAGGGCGGCGACGGAGGCGCCGCCAGGGGAACCCAACGCCGATCCAAGGAATCCGGATGGACGGTAGAAACATTACATTGACGCGATTTGTTCTTCCTCGATCGTCGCCACCGTCGTCGAGGTCGTGGCTGCGGTCGCCGTCGCCCATCGCCGTCGTCCGTCAGGAAATAAGGGTAAATCCGCCGGCCCCCTCGCGGGGCCACCAGGCTGCGAGGGTGAGGATTGCACCTTCCTGTTCCAGTTGCAGCTTCCAGCTTCCACTGTTACAGTCCTGCTTTCTGATTCCTTACTTTCAAGTGTTGTTGAACGCGCGAGGGGGGGAGCCCCAAACCAGCTTTCTTACCACGCCCAGATCGCGTTGTCTGAATTCTTGGGGGGGCGTGCATGGAACATGTAAAGATACATGAAATTCGCGTCCCCGGAACCATAAACCCTTGCAAATTACACCGCGCTCGCGCATCCGAAACTACAGACCTACGTAAATTGCACAATATTCGCGTCCCCGAAGCCATGATCCTTGGTAAATTACACAATGTTCACATCCCCGAAGCCATGAACCCCCGCAAATTATACCGTGTTCGCGCCCCCGAAACCATCAACCAAAATAAAATAAACAATTGTCGCGTCCCCCCCCTGTCATTTACACAATATTCGCACCCTCGAGGCCATAAGCCCTTGCAAATTACACGAAGTTCGCGTCCCCGAAGCCATACAACCTCGTAAAATACGAAATAGTTGTGTCCTCGAGGTCATATGCAACAGTAAATTACGATTCGCGTCCCCGAAGCCATAAACCCTCCCCGCAGCCATAAACCATGTGAAATATTCTGCAGTTTGTGAAGCCCCGACATTGCTTCACGTCAGCGTCCAGACATCCCAGCGCAGCTCTGGCAAGTCCCATTCTAAGAGAGGGGGCTCGGCGGCATGGGGGCGAAGCCCTTGCGGATAACCCACGGGGGGGATCATGCATGTATCCAGGGGTGCCGATGGTCCATGTTTTCGGCGAGGGGGGATGCGTGTAGCGCCCGCCCCTGGGCTATTCACCCTTCTCTCGGCAGCGAGCGAGGGGGGGGAAGGAAAAAAGAAAAGGAAAGCGCGCCTGTGGATCTCCCTGAATTCACTAAAGGGGGGGGGGGGGTGGGCCCCCCCCCCCCCCCCCCCCCCCTTCAAGGGGGGGGGTCCCGACCCACCCCCCCCTGTCAACCGTCCAACCTTCAACCATTTAGTGGTCTCACTCTCTTGCTTCATCCCTCTTGTCTCTTCTTGTTGTCTCTCCTTGTCCCCCATCCCACCCCTGCGCTATCCGCCGCCGTTCATAGGGCCCTTGAGCCAGGGCGCCCGGGAAAAAGAGCGATCGACGCGATGCGATGCGATCCGATCCCAGATCGACATAGTTGGTAGCGGAGCTACGGCTCCACTGATAGTAGCGCGGGCGGGGATCCCAGATCGGGCGATCGTCATCGGCCATGACATCCGCCATCTTCGAAGGATCTGGTGCGAAATCCTGCCCAATTGCCGGTTCATTGCAAAGCTGGGAAAGCTATGAAGAAGACCTGCAAGCATTGCGCCTGAGCACAGAGCTGAAAGCGACGACTGTGGGTCCGCACGTAAAGTCCAGAGGCTTTTCTGCAAACAGCACGTTTAAAAAACCAAGCCAAACTGTTAGACATGACTCGTCTCAGTAGCGATCCCGCAGACGAAACCGGAGCAACTGGGAAGTTGGGTTTCAATTACCTGTTAGAGTTCATGCAAACAGAAAACAAGACAAAAGACGACGTAGCTAAGATCATCCGTTTTGCCTCCTGGCTGGAATTGAAACGAGGTCATCAAAAGGTAGAAGACTACGTCATCGAGTCGTTCCGCCTGCTACAGGAAGTAGGCCAGGACAGGTTTGTAGTTCTGCAAGACTACGTCAACTCGTTGATTTTGAAAATCATCGCACAACTCACGCAACAACAGCTCAGCAACTTGTCGGCCAGACTCGACTTGGACGCAACTCTGACTTTAGCTAAGACCAAGAGTGCGATCCTGAAGGTGCTAGGAAACAACCCCTTGGCCAAAGCGGCGGACCACCAAGGCCACGAAGCCTAGGGGGAGCGGCCCTCGGAGGAGCACGACCAAGACTGGAGCGAGCAAGGCTGGCAGGACGCCAGTTGGACAGAAGACGCAAATTATGGCCAGAAAAACTGCTTGCGACGCGGTAGCCCCAGCCACTGGGTCGCTCAGTGTCCACGCCCACCGAAAGGCAAGGGCAAGGGCGTTGACGGCCGGGGCAAAACAG